TAAATAAAAACTTTAAAAAGTGCCTCAGGTACACCTTGTGCCTTAGGAAGCGCCTGGTACACACTAGTGTTTGGCACATAATTGTAGTGTGAGATTGTGCCTGACATGTTCCTTGAGCCCTAGACAATCTCTATCAGGTATGATCAGTTAGGCTAATAACATGATATATGACTATTACATAATAGCACATTATAATATGTGTCTAAAGCCATAATGTCAACTAATACAATTAAACATAGTAGAATGTGATGAGTGCTTGGAAAGTGATGAGTGCTGTGGTGAGGAAGCATATAGAAGGCAGATCTGGGGGCAGGATGGTTAGGGATAGCTTTGAGTAGGAAGCAACTCTTGACCATGACCTTGAAGGACAGGTAATGTTTACACGGCAAGATACAAGGAAAAGGAAAAACATAATGAAAGGCATGGGGGAGAAGGTTTTGGGAAACCATTCATCAGCCTGACAGGAACATAGTTAAGAAAATTGCAGAGAGGTAGTAGGAGGTAATTTAGAAGTGGAGAGTCAGATGTCCTATTAAGGAGCTTGGACTTTATCTTGCAGGCCCTAAAGACATTAGTGTAGGATTGGAATGAAATAAAGACTTAACCTTAGAAAATTACTGTGTGGATTGAAGTCTTCAGATGAAGAGTGGGTACATCAATTTGGAGGTGATGGAAATAGTTCGAGAGAGGTGTCACACAATTGAAAAATTCTCTTAGGACTTGCTTTTTGAAATCTCGATTGTTTACAGTTGTAAAGATTTTGTTTCAGAAATGACTGGTGGAGAAAGACGTATATCGAGAGTCAAAAGATGGGACTGTGCCACTCATGCTAGTAGAAAACTTCAAGCTTGGTGCTCTGTTTTTCTACCTGTCAAATGGGCATAACAACTGCCAGAACATCCATCAAAAGATTATACTAAGTGATAGAACTTTGAAAGGTAACATGCCTCATGTGTGTAAAATGCCATTTACTTGGAATATTTTTATACTAAAATTATTTTCTTTGGACAAGATAGAGATTCTGAAGAGAATCATATTTCTATGAGATTAGGATTCAGATCATTAGAATTTATTCATAGTTAATAAATAGATACTTTATATTGTGTACCTTTTTAACACCTCACTTCCCTCACAAAATGGATGCAATCATTGGACTAGGGGAAATGTATGGTCCCTGCAGTTGTAGCATTTTATGATTCTATAGTTTTTGCCTTCAGCAACCTTTTCTTAGAATAGTGATTTAAGGCCGGTGGCTCACACCTGTAATCCCGGTACTTTGGGAGGCCGAGGTGGGCAAATTGCTTTTTCTTAGGCGTTCGAGACCAGTTTGGGCAACATGGCAAAACTCCATCTCTATAAAAACACAAAAATTAGCTGGTGATAGTGGGTGCACAGCCTTGAGAGGCCAAGGTAAGAGGATGACTTGAGCCCAGGAGATACAGGCTGCAGTGAGCTGAGATGGTACCAATGCATTCCAGCCTGGGTAACAGAGCAAGACCTTGTGTAAAAAAAAAAAAAGGGGACTTGACTTAAGATACTGACAGTATAAGCACACTCAAACCCATGCGCATCTGTGCTGGGAATAAAAGACAGACATGTTCTCATTCCACTGATTTAGGACTCTGGTTGGAAGGGAAAACTGTAATGTCTCCTGCAATTGCCTAAAGTGCTTTACGTTTATGGGAATGGAAAAGCTAAATTCTGCGATTTGTGGGTAGAGGAAAGGAGGACAAGTGTCCTTTCTGACTTCCTCTTTTTCTTTCTCTTCCAAGGGGAAATAAAAGGTTAAGGCAACAATTTAAGAAGGAAAGGCAAGGAGCTACTGAGGCTAGGGTTGGTAGGGAAAGACCAAACCCACTAAATAATTTGATTTCAGTTACAGTAAATCTCAAATGATGATGCTACACTCCTGAGAATGTTCCATGATGGAAATGCGTGGGCTTTGAATTTTGAGCAAAGACATACCAGGAGAGGGTGACATTATAACACCCAGCAGGAAGAACACCGCTTATGTCAGTTTGATGGTACTATTCCACCAGATCACTCAGTCTTCACGAATCAAGCAAATAGCTACCTCACATGTCATTTGTAAAGGGAAAGACTCCTAGGAAAATGTTTTCTAGGAAAGGGAAAAAAGCAGAAAGCAAAGGTCTCCTGCTTACTATAGCATTCATGTTACATAAGCAGGATTAATGTAATAGAGTATTAATTACTTAAAACAGTTCAAGTATTATTCCTATCTGGGCTCTGCAGGGCCCTTGCTTCACTTCTTTCTCACTATTTGGATTCTGTCCATTTTACTCCTCCCTCTGCACTTGGAATAGAAGTGAAATTTGTTGTGCCAATTTTCTACTTGTTAGAAGCTATGGTAATGTTCAGTAGGGGAAAAGATTTGTACTGCTACATAGAAGGAGATTTTGGGATTATTTAAGCCTTTGTTGATGGGATTCCTAGAATCCACTACCACTGGGTACACTAGACAAGTTTGTAGATTTAAAAAAGTGTGGATAACATGGGCTGTACTTGATTTCTCTATCCAGCTTTTTGGTTCTAAATTTATTGCCAGTTTTATTTATCAAACCTATTCTCAGTGGAGTAGTATTTTCTGTGGTCACAAGGAAACATCTGTAAGCTTAAACCTTGGAGGCAGGTAGCCAGTTAGAACATTTGGCATATGAAGCTTAGATAGCAGAAGAGAAAAATTAATCAAGGCAACCCTCAAAAATATTGAGAAGGCAACTAAGAAAAATTTCTTATCACTGACAGACTGCAGTATTGAGTTCGTTTTAATGAAGAAATGTCAGAATACATAATGAATCAATGAGGAGTGTCATATTATGGCAAGTCTCAATGTTGATGTCAATCTCGACTGCCAGGATTTATGGTAGATTATATAATGGAATCCTGAGTTCTGAGAGATCAAAGGAAAATGCTGGCTCTTTCTTCATCCATTCTCTTAGGTCAAGCCTACCCAGCAAGAAGCCAAGTTGAGAACTGAGCAATTATCTGAAGTGGGCAGTGGAGACGGCCAAACCAGATAATATATAACCAGAAAGTCACCGTGGAGGGAAAATGTGGACTGAAAATAGGCTAAGGGGTGGAGGTAGAATGTCAAGCCATTTGGTCAGTGTCCACAGTCCAAATTCACTGAACAACAGCCAATTCCTTACTTCATGTGGCTATTTAGAGCGAGACTAATAGACTAGAGTAAAAAAAAAGAAGAGTTCATGACTAAGGTTGTTGCATGTTTGTGCAAAATTTCTTCAAATCTCTGTTATGATCTGTTACATGTCTAATTCTGAGTACTTCCAGGGATTGGATTTCACTATTTTAGATTAGTGGGTTCAAGTGGTGGAGGAAGCCCATATAATCTGACTTGCATGGAGAAAACAAGTCTTTTTTATAGTTTAGTTGAGTGTTATATTTAATTAGCCTTTTCCCCCTCCATAACGCATGCTTGTGAATTTTCCATTTAAAGTTCTGAGGCTCTGACCTTTATAATTTCCTCATGGAGCAATTTCTGTATCTCCTTTAGTAGAACATAGCAATGAATTATGCAAGTTCCCAGAATAGACTTTGTGTTAATTTTGGTTTTTTAAAAACACAACTACCAAAGTCTCAGGACCAGTGTGGTATTTATTTCTTCGATTTGATATGGAAACCATAAACTACTTACTTTGAGCAGATGTTTCCCAGTCCTAAAATTTAGCTATCAGTCCATTGGCACCTTCAAATCTGTCAGGGTGCACCTGCTAATTCTGAAGCCTCCCTAATTCAATGTTAAACTTTCCATTTGTTTTTTTATTGAGAAAAAAATTTGTAAATTAGGTTCACTATTGCTTGGAATTAGGGAAAATAGATAGGCATGCCAATATTTCAGATGGAAAAAGAAAATTAAGAATTTAACAAGTTTTTCCTCACCACTCTATCATGTGTTGTACATTTAAAGCTGTTATATAACATTTTAAAAACAAACAAACAAAAAAACCCCAGGGCCTTTTTCCAAGTGCTTAGGCTGATGTTTGAAATCCACAGTAAAAAATGCCCTATGGAATCATCTTTTAAAGCACCCCACAGGAGTCTATTGAAAAATCTTAAAGTAAAAATTCAGAAGAATTTTATATACAAGTAAGAATTAAGAATATTGTTTTATAAGCAATAGGGAAAAGCTGTATTAAGTAGCATTGCTCAATTTCTCACTTGCTCTGTGCAGTGACTGCTTTTTCGACCATATATCAATGTCTGAATCTTTGTGGTAAAACCATATCTACCACAGCCACGGCGGGTTTTATTCTGCTGCTGCACATGTGATTTGAGACATTGTGGGCTGGGATTTTTGTTTTTTAAATTTATTTCTAATGGCAGCAAAGTGGATCTATAGAAATGGAAGTCATCTGTAATCCCAGCACTTTGGAAGGCCGAGGCGGGCAGATCACCTGAGGTCAGGAGTTCAAGACCAGCCTGGCCAAACATGGTGAAACCCGTCTCTACTAAAAATACAAAAATTAGCCAGGCATGGTGGCGTATGCCTGTAGTTCCAGCTACTGGAGAGGCTGAGTCAGGAGAATTGCTTGAACCTGAGAGGTGGAAGTTGCGGTGAGCTGAGATCAAGCCATTGCACTCCAGTCTGGGGGGCAACAGTGAAACTATGTCTCAAAAAAAAAAAAAGGAAAAAAAAAAAGGAGAAGAAATGGAAGTCATCCCGTGGACCTGAATTGGTGTAGTGGATTATGTCCCGTACATAAATGAAGAAATGCTTGCCAATGGCATCAATGGCAGCTAGCTTAAGCCCTACTCAGCTTTGTAAAAGAATGTAATCAAGGAATTTGATCTGAACAGATAAGCCAAACATTGATTCTTCAGTGCCTATTGATAAGTGAGACTACTTTTCTTTTTAACAGCCTTATTTCACTTCAGTGGGGAATTAAACCAGCTTTAATTAAGGAAACCTGTAGAAATCAGCCGTATCTCCCTTTCCTTCTCTGTTAAAAAAACAAAAGGAAGAAGAAAGACATAATCACAAAGATCTCTTCACATTCTCCAGGACTGCAGTACCAAATATCAGCACGGATCTTCTTGAAAAAGGATGTAGATCTTAATCTGAATTTTGAACCATCACTGAGGTATGTGTGAACGTGTTAGTTTCCTCTTTCTCTGTACCAACTTTGTCCATGAATTCATAAGATCTAATTTGGTCATCAGTTTGGAGAATGATTTTTCATTTAATTTCTTTGATTATCAAGTATGTATTGCCAGGGGCTCAGCAGTACACTTAGTATCTGATGGGTACTCTACAGGTGTTGCTTTGGTTGAAATTAAGGATATAATCCATGAACTACCACCATTTAAAAAAATCCTCTGGGGAGGAAGGCAGCAAATCACACTGCCATGTGTGTACCTATGCAAAAATATTGCATGTTCTTCACATGTACCCCAAAACCTAAAATGCAATAAAATAAATAATTGGGGGGAAAAAAAAGAAAGAAAGAAAAAATTAGACCACAGTGAGCAGTGATCACGCCACTGCACTCCAGCCTGGGCAACAGAGTGGGACCCTGTCTCCAAAAAAAAAAAAAAAAAAAAAATCCTCAACATCTACTGTGTGGGTGAGATTTCTTTGCATATTATCAGAGAGGTTAACCAATTTATCTGCATGCTGAATAGTCCACTCTAAGTATGGAAAACCCAAGCTTTTTTTTTTTATTTTCTTAAAATAGAGTTTTTATTTCATTCTTTTTTCCTCAGAGCTTTACCATAGTTTCCAGGAAATGAAAACATTTCTTGATTTGAATTTCACAACCTCCTTCTTCTCTTGCCAGTTGTATGGTGCTAATAGGAAGCAAAACGTACTTCTAATTTACTTTTAATTTAACCCTAAAATAGGAGAACATCTTCAGAATATAGACTTTACATATTCAGTGACCTACCTAAAAATAGAGACATAATTCTTACATTCTCAGTCATTAAGAAACATTTCTATAGAATCTAATTATTCAAAGCAATAGGTAGCAGTTTCACAAGGGAAAAGATAAGCCATGCCACTTGTATTTGTGGTCACCAAATAATTACATTATTTTTATTTAAAATTAAGATAAAATAACTTACTGACCTTCAAGTCCATTTCTCATTTCCTCCATAAAACATTTTAAAACTAGTTCATAAACCTCTTGAAAACTCATGCCTATGCTACAATGAAAGTGCAAATTGTCATTATTGCCTAGAAGCCAACTCTAGAGGCTGTGTATCTATGTAGCATTTTGCAAATCCAGTAGCAGGCATGTGATATAAAGATTAAATGCACCCTGATTTGTGAATACTATCCTAACCTTCAAAACGGTCAAAAGCACAGAAAGTCTAGGCTTTTTAAAGTAGAACCTGCCCAAATTGCAAGGGAGGGGTTGGGTATAGGACATAGGTCTCTCTGCCAATCAGCTTGAGATGCCAGCGGACTAAACCTGACTTCACTAAGGACCAGACTGGCAAATATTACTCAGCGTGGTAACTTCGTAATTGTAGAACGGGCCTGTTTGGTGAAGTATTTCAGGACGATTTTTAGCTGGACTTTTTCTACCCTACTGCATAGGAAATGAAGGTTTCTAGGCAAAGACTTTATACTTAGTGACTAACGAAAAATGGTAAATAAAGTCACCAACTCCAGGCTTAGCTACTGTACTCAAAAGTGCTGCGGGACTCGTCAGGCCAGTCTTCTGAGGCTGGAGGTGCATGTGAAACCCCCAGAGTCTTGACTGCAAGGGCATGGCTGACTGCAGGCTGTTTAGAAGCACCCTGCTCCACGAAACTCCCCTGGCTTACGAATTTTAAACAGTTTTGGTTCTAATCCGTCTGCTCAGACTCTGAGTAGCTGTGAATGAGCTGTCCTGTGAATCACAGAAATGTTAATGGGTGAGCTGCTCTAGCTTCTTACTTTTTATTTTTGAGAAGGAATCTTGCTCTGTTGTCCAGGCTATAGTGCAGTGGCCGGATCTCGGTCCACGGCATCCTCTGCCACCCAGGTTCAAGTGATTCCTCTGCCTCAGCCCCCTATCTGGGACTACAGGCATGCCCACCAAGCCCGGCTCATTTTTTTTTTTTTTTTTAAATTTTAGTAGAGATGGAGTTTCACCATGTTGGCCAGGATGATCTCGATCTCCTAACCTCATGATCCTCCCACCTCGACCTCCCTAAGTGTTGGGCTTACAGGCGTGAGCCACTGCGCCTGGCCGTAGCTTCTTACTTTTAAGTAGAAAGTGCCTGTAGCTCATTGCTAGCTTGATGCAGAGAGTTTGATTCTCCTTTCGGGCAACAGGGAGAGGTAATGAAGAAATAGGGGGAAAAATAGGTTTTAACACACCAATGAGACTTCTATCTAGCTGAGGCTGAACAAAGTCAGAGAATCAATGCAAGTCACTGCGGTTTGGATCTCATACCATTTTCAACATACCCCTCCTTTTCTCTTTTTGTTTCTATACCTGTCAGCCCCTGAGTAGTCTTGCATTGCTTTCCCCGCTTTGAAATTTTAGATCCAAAATTGATTCCAGAAAGGTCTAAGGTCCTGCTGCTGAGATTTTGAAAGAGAGCTGAGGCTGGGCGCAGTGGCTCAAGCCTGTAATAGCACTTTGGGAGACCGAGGCGGGCGGATCACGAGGTCAAGAGATCGAGACCATCCTGGTCAGCATGGTGAAACCTCGTCTGTGCTAAAAAAAAATACAAAAAATTACCTGGGCATGGTGGCGTGCGCCTGTAATCTCAGCTACTCAGGAGGCTGAGGCAGGAGAATTGCTTGAACCCAGGAGGCGGAGGTTGCGGTGAGCTGAGATCGCGCCATTGCACTCCAGCCTGGGCAACAAGAGTGAAACTCCGTCTCAAAAAGAAAAGAAAAGAGAGAGCTGAAACAAACTGTTGGGATTCTAGATGCCTCTGAGCATCTACCTGAGTAACTGTTTGGTTGGGTCACCAGGAGAATTCTCCATTTTTGCTGCCCTTCCAATTTATAAACAACACAGAACATCAGTGGTTCTCCCATAATCAAATATATTTGGCTCTATTAATATTAAGTTTTGATCTTGAGTAGAAAGATTCTAAGGGCTAAAAAATAAAAGATATAAAATGTCTGTTAATGGGTTAGTATAGAAGCCACACGTGGGATTGCCTCCATTTCCTCTTTCATTTTTTTAAGATCCAACACTCAAGCTACAAAAGTTGATTCTTTTGTTTTGGAGACTGAGTCTTGCTCTGTCACCCAGGCTGGAGTGCGGTGGCGTGATCTTGGCTCACTGCAACCTCTGCTTCCCGGGTTTAAGTGATTCTCCTGCCTCAGCCTCTGGAGTAGCTGGGATTAAAGGGACACACCACCATGCCCAGCTAATTTTTGCATGTTTAGTAGAGGCAGGATTTCTCCATGTTGACCAGGCTGATCTCGAACTCCTGACCTCAGGTGATCCACCCACCTCAGCCTCCCAAAGAGTTGTGTGAGCCACCGAGCCTGGCCACAAAAGTCAATTCTTAAAACATAAAACTTCCATTTCTTTTATGGTCTACTTTAATCATGTCTGGAGTCAGTGAGCTCAGTTAAATAGTTTGTAGAATGATAGTTATGATACCTATTCATTTACCCATCAGATTATTTTCTGCTGGCCATTGTGCTTTATAGAAAACAGCTTATTTGGTCATTACAACAGCTCTAGGAGTGGGTTTCATTATGCCCACTTTCTAGTAAAGCAAACTAAGGCTTTGAGAAATCAAGCAATTTGCCAAACACTACCCAGCTGGTAACGATATTGCAGGACTTGAACTTAGGATGATAACTCGAGATCTTGGTCCCTGTAAATATGGGTTTCCACAGGCAGAGGGCTTAGATATTGAAGCAAATATAGAAGCAGTTTAAAAAGGAAAGACTTCCCATAGGGAGCTTGTCATCCATTGAATGAGAAGCTCAGACTTCCACTGTGAAATGATATTTGTATCCCCATTAGGACTCTCATCATTGTAACAGCACATTTTTCTGCGTATAAATGACATTTAATAGAGCTGACAGAATATATATATCTGGAACACTTTTACTTAGCAGAAAGGCAATGGGCTAAGATTAGCTGACCAGTAATTTTATTTATCAAGCCCAATTCCCATGCTGACTTCTCTTCTACTAGTGAAAATGTGTCATCAGATTTGGTCCCAAGCTGGAAAGGTAAAAGGATCCTTTCACCAGTAAACAATAGCCATGCCATGAGTTTTGCTTTCCTAGTGAAGTCTGATATGGATCAATGACCTATATCATTATGTTGGGGGTTTCTAAACATATATGAACTAAAGATGGAAAAGATGATGGAAAAGATGGAAAGAGGTGACTCAGATGTACAAAGGCTTGCAGAGAGAAGGATAATTCAAAAAAATCGGTAAATCACACGTGAATAATCATGAACTGACTACAACAGAACAATATGTGTTCATTTCCACTAATGAATAAGCTGCCATTATGTCTTTTCCTTCTCTATTTGGGACAAATTACTTCTCTGCTGTATTTCCATTCTTACAGGAACCTATCTGCTGTGATTTTTCCCAGTTTTGACTTTATCTTGTTGCTTTAATCTTGTCTCTAAGTAAATTGCAACCCCAGCAAATATATTCCAGTATTGTTTATTGTAATTCCTGCCTTTATGTCAGGTGGCAAGAGGAAGGGACTTGTTTTATTAATTTATCAGTCTGGGTGTGTGCTAAGAGGAATCTTAGTACACACTGATTACGGTAGATTGAGTCTAAAAGCTGGTTTATTCCATCTATTTTGGTCTGCCTACATAACAAGGCCACACAGCTGATTATAATGGTTTTCTATGTGTCATATTGTTGACCTGACATATAAAATCAAATAAGATGTACCAGAATTTTCTGTACAGTCTGAAGCTATATGTGCACAATGATGAATGAAAAATCTTAATTATTTGGACTTTTGGGTTCCGTGATGCCAGAGAAAGCCAGACACCAAGAGCTTGAATCAGCTAAGACCTAAGACCCTGAATATACATATAGATGTTTACATTTTCTTCCTACTGCAACATTCAGCCATTGCTTTGGTACCTATTTAAATAATATATTACTGCTCATCAAAGTGGGAATAAACGTTTTGTTA